CGTAGCTTCCGTTGAACTGTAGTGCTAGTCGGCTATGCATCGCATAGACCGATTTTACACTCTATTATTCGCAGTCGGTTGACAGCCAAAATTCTTCGTTGGTTGGCCGAATGGCTTAGTAATGATCCGGCAGTAGTCGTTGAAGCCAGTCAATGATGTAAAAGAGTCGCAAAGTCGAATGATAATGATGCAGGTGAGTAAACACATTGTTAATAGAGACCGGCTTTTCTATTATATTGTCCGGCTATCCATGCTGGACTTGTCATAGGGACGGTGAGTGCAGTTGTTTCTTGTGTCTGAATATGTTCATAACAGAAAAAATGCTATTCTCCACAAAGTGGACTAGTAATCCCTTCAAATGTAAGTGTAATTGTCTCCATGGCCAAGTGAAAACTCCATGAAAGATCATCGGAAAAGCCGCTTATACGCGCGCAGTGCTGTCCGTGAAATGACACCAGAAAAGCTCCAGGTGACTGGAGAATCGGAATATTTGAGGCAGTGAAAGTAATCATGCCAAAATTGTCGGTCTTCGGTTGTGGAACAGTGGATCCATGTAAATATCTTATTCCAGGTGCGTAAATTGTTCCACTGTGAGTACGAAGCGAGCTAAACCCATTTGTTTAGACCCCGTGGTGGTAGCCTCTCCAGAATGGCGGAAAGAGCACCATTTGGAACGATGTGTGGGTTCTTCATCTCCCGGAGAAAAGATCAAACGTTTAAACCACCTGGCTATTGAGAGTGGGTCGATCAGTCCCAGCGGATAAACCTTCTTGTTTTGGCGGATGTAACTGGAAATCTCGGGAGAAAACGGGCCACGGACAAGAGACAGCCAAACAGCAATGGATCAAGAAGCACAAACACAGACTGGTGGCGCGAAACTGTGCCTATGATACGTTAAAGCTTATGTAATTTTGTTTAGTATACATGATTTGCAAGCGCGTTCGTTACATCACGACGCTGGTGTGACTTGGACTACATTTACTAGGTAGGAAGAAGGATCTGCACGCGCAGGGTCAAGAGACGGATATAACAAAGCGTGTTGCCAAAGTTAAGCGATTAATACGATTGTTGGAGAGATACAGGTAAACCGATGATGATGACAGCAGTCCGAATGCGAGCGGCATGTTAGGTGGAACTAAGGACAACTAGGTTGAGACCGAATGCGGGAGCAACATTGGTAAAGCAACATTCCAAGAAGAAAAGGAAATTTATACTATCAGCTATGAGCGGATGAATGCGGACGGCAGTGCGAAGAGTAACTCGTGAGCGTAATTTGGAGACGATAGTCAGGATGAAAAAGGTTTACTAATAAAGTGTGATGAAGCCAAGGACGCTCTCGTGCGAAGTATGCATCGTTCAGTTCTGGAAAATCACCGGTAATATCCCGGTAGTCTGAGAGAACTCTGAGAGCCGGAGACCGAAAAGACGAGACTTTAATAGTCGACACATCCGGAAGCCTCGTAGTAGTCCCAGAAAATTTCACTGATCAGATGATGACAAAGAAGGGCATGGCACTAAGCGTCGGTCGTCCAATTGAAGGGGGAAGGGCACAGGTTACTGATGGAAGTGCCTATATTAATAAAGGGTAAACAAGTCTACCCGGTTGTCAATGTAAGCAAGACATAGTTTTGAGTCTACAGAGATTAGATCGGTATATCTTTTGTTTCTGTAAAAGGTCAAAGGAGCATACCGGTCAGATGAGACTAGGTTATTACAGGGCACTGAGAGTTGGCACTCCGATTAGAGGAGAAATGATAGTAGAGAGCGCCATAAGGAGAGGAGACAGTCCGGATAGAGAGAGGTTTACTTATAAGGTGTGGAAAAGTTCATGGGGGCTCGCGAGGTATTGGGGACAGAGCGTTCGGTCTTCTCATCAAATGCCGGTAACGTCACAGTAGTCTAAGTGAATTCGGAGAGCAGGGGACCGATCAGACGAGACTGCATTACTCGGCACATTGAGAATAAGTCGAACAGTTAAGGTGGGAAGATAAATAAAGTGTCAGCAGAGACGGACAGGTTTGGGATGCAAGAAGCTACATGAATACAAGGTATGCAAGGCAGGCAGGAGTCTGAGAGAAGTTAGAAAGCAAGAGACCGATCAGACGAGACAGGATTAGTCGGCGAAACGAGATTGAGTCCAACAGCTAATTTTTGGAGGGCAAATGGAGTGAATCGAGTGGTGGACAGGTTAGGGGTGGAGGTGCCTATATAAATAGTGGGTGAACAAGTCTAGCAGGCTGTCAACGTAAGTGCGACATAGCTTGAATCTACAGAGTCTAGACCGTTTAAATGTTGCTGCTCTGGAAAAGGTCAAAGAAGCAGACCGGTCAGATGAGACTAGGTTATTACAGGGCACTGAGAGTTGGCAGTCCGATTAGAGAAGAAATGATAGTAGAGAGCGCCATAAGGAGGAGAGACGGTCCAATTAGAAAGAGGTTTATTTATAAGGTGTGAAAAAGTCCATGAGGCTCATGAGGTATTGGGGACAGAGCGTTCGGTC